TGGGGAGGAGGGTGGAGAGAATGGTGCAGCAATGAAGGAGTGAAAGCCCAGAATCCCTGTGAATGTTCATTGAAACTAATAAAATTTAATAATAATAATGATTAAAAAAAAATCTCTGGCAAAGCCTCTTAATTTGTCAGTAGCATCTCTTTTCTTCTTTGATTTGCTATCATCATTTCACTACCTGTTAAAGATTTTAATTTTTGTGTCATCTTTTTCTTTACTAACATTTTTTGGAATTAAAAATACTTCAGTTAATTCTGGGCTACTTAGTTTCCCTTCCTATTCCAAATACCGTCAGCATCTCTAATTCCTTCCATTTGAGGAAATACTCCACCTTCCCATTTGTTATACATTGATCCAGTATTTTTTCTACCGCAGATTCTTGTGGTTCTGCCTCTTCAACTTTTTTACTTTTTCCATTCTGTTTCTTTTCCATTTTTTTGCAAGGTGGTTTTATTGGAGGCCATTTTTTATTGCAGAGTTGAAGAGCTATTATTTATCACCTCCAAGCTATTCGGAGTCCTGGGCTTGTGGCATCTCTGGTCTTGTCTGGCTCTAGCTCAAGTCACATCCCGGTAGTAGTTTTATGTGAAATATACCATGTAGTCCTTACAGGTAGCTCTGATGGTCTAGTTGGTAAGAAGACTGAGCTACTCTAGCAGTTTGAGTCCATCAGTTACTCTCAGGGAGAAAGATGGGCCATCTCCTCCTGTATAATTTGTCACATGAAAAACCAACAGCAAGGTCAGTTAAGAGTCCAAAAGCAATGTATTTGTAATGATTAAGTCCTTAAAATGAATAAAAATACCTTTGTCTATTGATATATAAAAATACCACAATTTAGGGAAATAAATCTCTATGTATATATATGTATGAATGACTTGCATAGGTATGTGTGATTATTTTGACATGATCCACAAGAAAATGTTTTCTGTGAGGGTAGAGGTGACTATATGCCTTTTAATGTCTCATTTCAATTGATTTACTTAAATGTTTGCTAGAAATATGAGGAACTCAAAGGAAAATATTCTTATGATAATATTGATACTAAGAAAATAATAACTCTTCTGTAAAAATTCTTAAGGGCAAGAAGAGATCAGAGTGGTGTGAATGGTGGGAACTTGAATACATTTACTCTTAGAGCAGTTCTGAGAATCATCTGTATAATAATAGTTAATTTTCAAGAGGTTGACAAAATTTGGAAGTCACAAATTAAGATGTTTTAATAAATCAACTAAAATATTTGTTTCAGAACACGAAAGATCTTCAAACTACACTCAACATTCTAAACATTCTTGTTGAGCTAGTAACTGCTGGTGAGTTTTTATTTCTTTTCTTACATTATATCTATACTATTTGGAATATTTTGTTACCCATTCAAGAGCTGTTGTGATTACTGGAATTTAGAAACTCTTGTTTTTTCATAGTTACTTTGTAGTATCTTTCACTTTGCCCATGCAACCCTTGTGTTTTACAGCCTTAACCTTAGAATTTAGGCCTCATGTGTGTGTTTATTCTTTCTACCATTTTCTAACTAAAGGCAGTCGAGTGAAATGTGATATTGGTGGTATTTGTTTGACTTTGGCAGTCATCACTTTGAAAGATACTGAATGCTAAGAGATTTTAATACTAATGTGTAATGGGATTATTTTATATTTTTTGAAAAAAATATTTAAAATTTTTTAGGTGGCGGTCGGAGAGCTAGTGTTTTAGTTGCCAAAGGTGGTTCACAAATATTATTACAGTTACTGATGAATGCTAGCAAAGAAACTCCTCCAAATGAAGAGTTAATGGCACAGATTCATTCTATTCTTGCAAAGATTGGACCAAAAGGTAAGGATTTCACTTGTGTGATTATTGAATATGTAATCGTTTTTGCAACACTAATTTTTATCTGCCCTGAAAGTGCTAAATGTTTCGAATTGTTGTTTTCTGCCAATGTGTCGGATCTGACCCATAACTGACCCTCTGGTGAGTTTTCAAACACAGAAAATCACAGGGAGGAGATTGCCCATCCTTCTTCCATGGCTCAGTTGGTGTATTCGAACTACATGCCCTTGTGTAGTCAGTTTCTTACCACTAGGCCACCAGAGTGACTTTGCGTATCCAAAATTCTTAACTTTACATGTGACAGAAAAAGGAAGAAAATAGTTTCTAAATCACAAGTGTGTCTAGGGGTGTGTGTACATATACTTGTGTATAATATTGATAATGGTTTGAGGAAACTAAAATATTACTGCTTTTATAACAATTTTGTTTCTCAGTGCTCGGGCAGCTTTCAGGTTGGCTAAGAAGGACAAAATAGACAAACTGTGGCTGATTATTACAACAGAAAAACATATGACATTTAAAAAAACACAAATTGAAGAAACAATATAGAGCTGATTGAGGTTAGATAAATGGAAAATGATGCCCTTTCAGAGGAACCTAAATTCAGCTTACAGTTCTCTACCTGCACAAAGACTAACAAAGATGCTTTGATGAGTTCTTAGAATGGTTTGTTAAGTTCATGCCATTTCCTTGTGACTTAACATTAAGGTTTCAGTTCTTGAAATATTTTGTTAAATGGTTTAAAACAGGTTGTATGTGTACATAGTTTATGTATCTGCATATTTTTCATACCTATCTTTTTATATTGTTTACAGTTTAAAATTGTAATTTCAGAAGGTTTTTTATAGCCAACATCCCTGAAATGAGTTAAATTTTCCAGAAATCTATAAGACCTTTTTGAGTTGAGCATAATCAATTGGCTTAAGAAATACATTGTTGTTGTTACATGCTGTCGAGTCATCTGTCTACAACTCATAGTGATCCTATGAACAGTAACTCTTAGTCCTGCCCTATCTTGAGCCGGTCTCACTGTCCCTGACACACCTATCCCCATATCAACAGTTACTGTGTCAATCTATCTCATCCAGAGTCTTCCTTTCCTGTGCTGATTTTCCACCCTTTTAAGCATGATGTCCTCCAAGGATTGGTCCCTTCTGGTAGCCCAAAGTATGTGAGATGAAGCGTCACAATCCTTGCCTGCAAGGAGCAACCTGGTTTCAACCACTGCAGAACTGACCTATTTGTTCCTTTGGTAGTATGTTCAATACTCTTCTCCAGCATCACAACTCAAAGGCATAAAATTCTTCTGTCATTTTTTGTCATTGTATAGCTCACAGATATATATCAAGTAATTTAGAAGACCATGGCACACCTTGGTCTCTAGACTGACATTGTTGCTCCTTAGCAGTCTAGAGAGGTCCCAAACAGCTAACTTTCGCAGAGCATCTTGTCTTTTGATTTCCTGACTGCTGGTGCCAAGAAGTTGATTGTGGATCTGAGCAAGATGAAATTGTTGACATCCTCAACTGCCAATTGTTTCAGTGATGAGAATCTTTGTTTTCTTGATATTGAGATGTAGTCCATATTGAAGACTACAGTTCCTGACCCTCTGCAACAAATGCTTCAAATTCTACTCAGTTTTGACAAGCAAGTTTATGTCACTTGTATAATGTACCAACAGCTAGAACCAGTGAGGAGGAAAGAGATTTCTACGACCTTTTGCAGTCTGAAGTAAATTGAACATGCAGCCAAGATTTATTAGTAATAATTGGTGACTGGAATGCGAAAGTTGAGAACAAGGAAGAAAGATGAGTCAGTATTTGAAAAATATAGACAATGGTGACAGGATTAAAGCAAATTTTATAAGTAATAAAAAACAGTGATGATACACATAGACCTCATCTTGTGGAATTAACAGAAACCACATTTATTACCTATGTGGAAAGAATTGTTGGAGAGGCTCAGTATCAGCTGTGAAGACCAAGTGCTGATTGTGGAGTAGACTATCAACTAATCATGTGAAAGTTCAGAGTGAAGCTAAAGAAAATAAATTATCAAGAACCAAACTATCACCTTGAGTGTATCCTACATGAATTTAATTGTTGTTGTTGTTGTTATGTGCCATCGAGTTGATTGCAACTCATAGCGACCCTATGTACAAGATCTCTAAATGCTGTTCTATCCTGTGCCAACCTAGCCTTCTCAAATGCACTTATTCCCACCGCTCCAGTCACAGAATTCATCCATCTCATTGAAGGTCTTCCTTGCCTTCGCCGCCCCTTCATTCTGCCAAACATGATGTACCTCTCCAAGGAGCAGGGCAGCATGCCCAGAGTATGTCAGATGAAGCTTCAGAATCCTTGACTCCTCTGAAAAATTGGTTTGAGGCCCTAAACACTAATGAACTGTGGGATGATACTGAGAATATCCTACATGAAGAAGGAAAATTAAAAGAAGAATGCAAATTATGAGAATTCTTCATTACATAAAAAATGTCATTACAAAGAAAGAAGACAAGAGCAAGACAGATGTCAGATAGACTGAATTTTGCTGACACATTTCAAAGGGCAGCTTGGAAAGATAAAGCAAAAGAATATTAGTTAAATGTGTAAAGAGGAAGAATGAGAAAATAAAAAGAAATAAAATAGCTATTTTTCTTTAACTCTTGTATTTAAGATTGATATACTTCTGAGATGTTTGATAATAAGGGTTTTTCTCCCAGTTTTAAAATAAGAAAACATTTCTTTTTTTTTCAATTTTTTTAAATTATTA